GGTGAGATCTGAAGGTCCCACCCTCCAATAAAGGGGTCAAAATGTCCAAATCGGACCTTATTTCAGGTCCCTCAGTCTCTTTGACGCGGAGAGACACCTGGTGGGGGGAGGGGCTAATACTGACGCATGAAAGGGGGGAGCTGGGAGGGAGCAAAAATGTGGACTGTCTAGCAGGGAGCTTGGAGGTAGCAAAAACATGGACCGACTGTGGGTCCCCAAGGACCGAATTGGATAACACTGAACTAAACGTTTGCTTTAGTTGTTCAGAATTGCTGAGTTCCTACTGAAGGTTTAGGTGTGTAAATAATGGTTAAATTCCTATCAAACTTGGATCAACTGCCCACCCCTTTTAATGTTTTCCCTGTAAGTAAGACAGATGGATGTTCAGATAATGTATCATAGCAGAATGTAGGTTCACTCCATCAGTGACGTATGATGGCTTCACATCAGGGTGGTCAGGACAACTTTATCAGTTGTCTGAAAATCTCCAAGTGATTTTCCCCTTTAAATATAATCTGGCTCCTTCTATGCCATTTTTTGAATGAAGCAGATTGCATTGACTTGCAGCTGTGTTTGACCCTGGTATAGGCTGATCGCGATCGGGTGCCGAGCTCACGGCCCGCCTGCTTGCTTTTACAGTGGCGTGTGCGTTTGGTTAGTCAGGGGATCCGCGCGGTTCCGTCCGGACAGCTCTCGAGACGGCGCTGGCTGTGGCCAGCCTGCCGACTTCTGCGCCGTGTGAAATCGTGACGTCTGTACGTCTCAGGTTAAGCGATGTCGTTTTTTCCCGCCTTCCCGTCTCTCTCTCACCCGCACATTAGCGCCCTGTGCTGGCCGCTTCGGCCGCTGCCTGCCGCAGTCTGAGAATGTGGAGCGTCCTGCACACGTGGTGTCTGGCCGCGCTGCGAGCTGGGAAGCGGGGGCTTGGGGGGGTTCCGCACAGGGCCTCTTCACACTATCAGCTCAGACGCCAACACGGAGCCACTCCCCGCCGCCTGTTTGCGTTGTGATGTCACTCTATCCGAAAAACAACGTGTGGCTGAAATAACCGTTTTCCCCAAGTCTGTTTTAATGCGTCTGGTTTGTTTGTCATCTGCTGGGTGTCCGGGAAACCGGAGTAGTGAGGTGATGTCACTGAAGTACAATCTGAGCCCCCCCCCCCCCCTGAAATCGAGCTGACTTACTGTACAGTTAGGTTCAGGGGGGTATTCTTTATTCATTTGCTCCTGCATTTGGGGATGGGCTGTAAACTGACTAATCCTACCTTTATCATGGAGGGCAAAGGAAGGTAATGGACGGTAGGGGGTGTGCCGTAGGATAATTGTTGTTAAAGCAATCAGGAGCCCTAACCCTCCAAAAGCAAGTAAATGCTAAAGAGATATCAATGCATTTCCTCCTGCAGCCAGACTCTTCAGTCAAACCTGGGGGAGCTGATGAGAGCCAGTGAGGAGGGTGTGTGTGTGTGTGTGTGTGTGTGTGTGTGTGTGTG